CCAGACAAGATGAATCATCCGCCGTATCGAATGGGAAAATCAATTCCGGACCTACAGATATGCACGGTACAGGTGAACGCATTCCGATCACACACAAGAGGATGACTCATTTTAGCAAAACGGAAGTAAGGGTACTTATAGACGTAATGCTCCTCACTTAACATTCTTGGCGTGTTTAGCCAGTCCAGGTAGTGACGCGAGGGACGTGCCTTTTTTCAACAACGGTATTAAGATGCGAGCGCCTGACGTAAATCATAATTGGTCGCCTAAATACAATCAAACCCAGTGATCTTACACAATATTCACCGAAAACACAAACATGGATGAATCACTCGGTCGGTTTCTTAATGAAATCCTCGGTGAATCATGCCAATGCCAAGTGATAACAGAATACTCTAAATTTAGATTTACGTGTAATGTTTGCAATTGTAAATCTTCTTTAATTATGGGTTCTGAAATTTTAACACTATTGCAGAGATTACGGCAATTTTTACTAATTAAGGGCGTTCTTAACATTGTTGTTAATCACTTGCAGCTGCAACACAGTTTGTTAACATGAGATCTAATCTAAATTACAAAAGTGGAGCAGTTGTAAAAACTGTTTTTTTTAAATTCTTTAGCAATTGATGCAATTTTCACACATTTGCAATTGATACCAAGTGGGTCAATTAAAACTACGAGAAAGGATGTGGTTTAATCTATTAACACTAAAGTGGTTTGAAAAACACACTACATTTTCACACTGTTTACGATTTCACACGCGTGCCAGTTGAAATGGGCGGGTCAATTTTTGGAAATGTGAGTAAGGACGCTCTCGGGAAAACCTTCAAACATACGTTAAGTAATTGTAATTGGCTTCGTTCCATGTTTCCCAACTATACTGAGAATACAATATATTAATATTACGTCGCCGAATAATGACTTACACCTCAAGGGCGATTTTTCCAACACTTTGTGCGCCCATTCGCGTTCCAAGCCACTATTTGTTGAAGGATCTATAGCAAAGAAAATTTTGGGTTTGTCAGAAATCAACAGGGCATTCAATAGCGACCTAGTTAATAAGGTAAGAAAATGGCACCTTCAATGTACACTTCTGAAGTTAACCCTTTGATGAGACGTATCCTATTCTCAGGATCACGTCTAAAAATACCTACTCGAAGTCGATAGCTCGTTCTATTCTCAATTTCTATGTAACACGATAGCAAATGCAGTAATCGACATACGAACTCGTTTAAACCTCCGCCCGTTTGCCGGAAACGAAATTAAAAATATTTTTCCGTTGTGGAATTATCATGTTGACAGACCCCGGGCGAACAGCCAAAAAAGTATAACTTTATGAAGGAAATTTCAAGCCTAAAGGTTTTCGTTTCTTAATAGTTCTGAACCAAACTCGAAGAGGGACGTTGATTAAAAGTTTCCCTTTGTCGTCGTGTATAATAGAAACCTTTATTTTATAGCAGAAGGCATAAAAATCGTTATAAAACTTCTAAATATTCTGTAGGTATTTAATTTAGACGTCCAAAATAGCAATCTTAGGTCTTCCCATCGTTTCCATGGAAACGATATTGTATTCTGTAGTAGACTTCATTTTATTTCGTGCTCTGCGTCCCAATTTTAATAAGAATGCACAATCTTTTGCCTTTATTTACCCTTGCCGCTGAAGTGATTGCTTTATATAGGTGCATTTACTGTTAAAGAGACATTAGACTACCTACTCATTCAAAGTTCAAAGCTATTAAAATGTCAATTTAACATCTGCTATAAAATAAAAGCACATTAAATATGTATCTCACAAACCATGGAAGGTTATACACTGCCTTTTTTTGAGGCCCGAAAAAAAATTGCCTCAGATCGACCCGAAAAAAGATTTTCTTATAGAATGTGGTCTGTAGAATCCATAATTTCAAACAGTTCCAAGATTGGGCTACTAGTTCAAAAGTTACAGCCCTTTGAATTTTTTTTCGAAATTGGTTTCTAGTCCATAACTTTTGATTGAGAAGTGATCGAAAAAGTACGAATTGTTTTGGATTCTACGCACCAAAATTAATAAGAAAAAGTGTTTTCCCGAGAAATTTTGGTGTAGTCGATTTTTGGTAAAAAAGGAAGGTTAATACACTGCCTTTTTTTGAGCCCCGAAAAAAAATTGTCTCAGATCGACCCGGAAAAAAATTTTTCTTATAGAATGTGGCCTGTGAATCCATAATTTCAAACAGTTCCAAGATTGGGCTACTAGTTCAAAAGTTACAGCCCTTTGAATTTTCTTTCGAAATTGGTTTCTAGTCTATAACTTTTGATTGAGAAGTCTGATCGAAAAAGTACGAATTGTTTTGGATTCTACGCACCAAAATTAATAAGAAAAAGTGTTTTCCCGAGAAATTTTGGTGCAGTCGATTTTTGGTAAAAAAGGAAGGTTATACACTGCCTTTTTTTGAGCCCCGAAAAAAAAATTGTCTCAGATCGACCGGGAAAAAAAATTTTCTTATAGAATGTGGCCTGTAGAATCCATAATTTCAAACAGTTCCAAGATTGGGCTACTAGTTCAAAAGTTACAGCCTTTGAATTTTCTTTCGAAATTGGTTTCTTGTCTATAACTTTTTGAGTGAGAAGGTCTTATCGAAAAAGTACGAATTGTTTTGGATTCTATGCACCAAAATTAATAAGAAAAAGTGTTTTCCCAAGAAATTTTGGTGCAGTCGATTTTTGGTAAAAAAAGGAAGGTTTATAACTGCCTTTTTTTGGAGCACGAAAAAAAATTGTCTCAGATCGACCCGGAAAAAAAATTTCTTATAGAATGTTGCCTGTAGAATCCATAATTTCAAACAGTTCCAAGATTGGGCTACTAGTTCAAAAGTTACAGCCCTTTGAATTTTCTTTCGAAATTGGTTTCTAGTCTATAACTTTTGATTGAGAAGTCTGATCGAAAAAGTACGAATTGTTTTGGATTCTACGCACCAAAATTAATAAGAAAAAGTGTTTTCCCGAGAAATTTTGGTGCAGTCGATTTTTGTTAAAAAAGGAAGGTTATAAACTGCCTTTTTTTGAGCCCCGAAAAAAAAAATTGTCTCAGATCGACCCGGAAAAAAATTTTCTTATAGAATGTGGCCTGTAGAATCCATAATTTCAAACAGTTCCAAGATTGGGCTACTAGTTCAAAAGTTACAGCCCTTTGAATTTTCTTTCGAAATTGGTTTCTAGTCCATAACTTTTGATTGAGATGTCCGATCGAAACAGTACGAATTGTTTTGGATTCTACGCACCAAAATTAATAAGAAAAAGTGTTTTCCCGAGAAATTTTGGTGTAGTCGATTTTTGGTAAAAAAGGAAGGTTAATACACTGCCTTTTTTTGAGCGCTGAAAATTGTCTCAGATCGCCCGGAAAAAAAATTTCCTTATAGAATGTGGCCTGTAGAATCCATAATTTCAAACAGTTCCAAGATTGGGCTACTAGTTCAAAAGTTACAGCCCTTTGAATTTTCTTTCGAAATTGGTTTCTAGTCCATAACTTTTGATTGAGAAGTCCGATCGAAAAAGTACGAATTGTTTTGGATTCTATGCACCACAATTAATAAGAAAAATTGTTTTCCCGAGAAATTTGGTGCAGTCGATTTTTGGTAAAAAAGGAAGGTTATACACTGCCTTTTTTGGAGCCCCGAAAAAAAAATTGTCTCAGATCGACCCGGAAAAAAAATTTTCTTATAGAATGTGGCCTGTAGAATCCATAATTTCAAACAGTTCCAAGATTGGGCTACTAGTTCAAAAGTTACAGCCCTTTGAATTTTTTTTCGAAATTGGTTTCTAGTCTATAACTTTTGATTGAGAAGTCTGATCGAAAAAGTACGAATTGTTTTGGATTCTACGCACCCAAAATTAATAAGAAAAAGTGTTTTCCCGAGAAATTTTGGTGTAGTCGATTTTTGGTAAAAAAGGAAGGTTATACACTGCCTTTTTTTGAGCCCCGAAAAAAAAATTGTCTCAGATCGACCCGGAAAAAAAATTTTCTTATAGAATGTGGCCTGTAGAATCCATAATTTCAAACAGTTCCAAGATTGGGCTACTAGTTCAAAAGTTACAGCCCTTTGAATTTTTTTTCGAAATTGGTTTCTAGTCTATAACTTTTGATTGAGAAGTCTGATCGAAAAAGTACGAATTGATTGAGATTCTACGCACCCAAATTAATAAGAAAAAGTGTTTTCCCGAGAAATTTTGGTGTAGTCGAATTTTCGTAAAAAGGGAAGGTTATATACTGGAGTAGGTCATTCAAGAATCTTCAGCTAGTAAGTCCGCTACCACTACCCTACAGTCCTACAGGTGCTAACACAGAGGGCGGTCCGACCCAACTAACAACGCAGCCAACTGTCATGCATGGTGGATTATCCATGTCTTCGATCCCGTATTAATAAGCGAAATTCCACCTCCCCACTTCAAGTAACTCAACTACCAGGATCATTCATCCGCTATTACGAGTCGCCTCGCATGGCATAAACACCATCAGGGTGTTCTTTTTAGTCTGGATTCTCGCTTGGGGCCGTCATGTACAGAGCCTGGCGTTACATGCCCCCTTGATATCACTGATCCAATCAAGCCCTGCAACCACGACAAGGCCCAACACTGAGGGGGTCTTGATAATCAATTGTTTTTCTGATTTAAACATTGTAATTCTAAGTAAATATTCTTCATATTTAACTAAATTCGTAGCTCTAAAATATCAGAAAATGAGCAATAGTGTCGGCTATAGTTGAAGCCTTGGATTATGTACTTTATATTCCACTGAAGACCACAAACAAATATTATAAGCAGCATCAGATTTGGACCATACTCCTTTCGTTTGTGCTACCGAGCTCCTATACATGAAGGAGGATGAGAATGGCAACAGATTGGAGCAATTCCGTTCCAAAGTTTGCAATTTCCCCACGTTTAGTAAAAAATTCTACATTGTGCTATAATAGAGCCCAGTTCAGTGTAAGTAGTGTATTAACACAGTGCAAGGCATATAGAAACAATTTAATATGCAAAAGTGTATTTCAACATCTAATAAATATAAATTCATAACAAAAATCTTACTTAAACAAAAAAAATGGAAGACATTTTAAGGCATAATTTAAGTACATGTCATATCTAACATAACGTTACATACGAACATCACCGGCACAACGGAAACCTAAATTTCCAGCGGTGCTATCTTTGGTATTTTGCGAACGAGCTGCGCATCGATATCTCCAACAGTAGCTCTCGTGGCACATATATGAACCACCCTTTTTCACCTTCTCATTCTGCATAAAAAAATATTAGCTTTAGTTCAATAAATACTCGAAGCATTCATGGTGACATTTTTTAAAAATTAACACATCTATCAGTTAGTTCTAATGGTCCATAGATGTGTGCATTCGTTCACCTCTGCTCTACAAATCCAAGAATTCCAAAATAGTTCTAACTGGTAGATAATGTTTCAATAGAAAAAAAGTTCACTATGGCCCCATCTACTCTTTCGTATATAAATGTATTGACCTACATCATTCTTTAACCAGGTGTCTTGCGTCCACTCCCAAACATTTCCCGCCATGTTGTATAAATTGAATTTATTGGGAGGATAATGATCAACTGGCGCTGTCGAAATAAAACCATCTTCGGCTGTATTTTCATTGGGAAAACTTCCTTGCCAAATATTCGTCCTACAAGTGAAATTATTTCAACAAAAAGAAATCATATCACTCTGGAAAACCTAAATGCATTCTGGAGACCCAGAACATTTTATAGCCCTGCCAGAGCTTTAAAATAATTCCGAATACAAACAAAACAGAATGCAACCTACCCTTACCAATGTTTATTTTGGGGATTCAATTTATTTCCCCACGGATACAGCTTTTGCCGTAATCCACCTCTGCAAGCCATCTCCCACTCGGCTTCAGTGGGCAGTCGTTTACCAAAGTACTTACAGTACTCGACAGCATCATTCCAAGAGACGTGCGCAACAGGATGGTTCCATTTATCTGCGAGAATGCGACAATAATTTAAAAATAGCACTATGGCGTACCTTCAACGGAAGACTTAGGACCTTCGGGATGTTTCCAATTGACACCATCGACTTTCACCCACCAAGGTGCTTGGACAGCCCGAACATCTTTATATTTATCTAACTCATTGTTAGGTATAAACATATCCAACATAAAACTATCGCCGAACTTCTCCGCCTCGGTAACATAAGAAGACCGATCGACGAAATCTTTAAAATTTTGATTTGATACTTCGTACTTATCTAAATAGAACGCTGCTACAGTAACGTTTCTAAGCGGTCCTTCATGATCGACTTCAAAAATAGGTTTGCTTGTTCCCATTTCGAAGGTAGCACCTTCAATCATTACCATGTTTTTAATATCGAAGGCAGGAGGTAAATTATTGTCAGAAGTTTTCTTATTAAATTCCTTTGAATATTTGTGTGTGCTCTCTACATCATTACATTCTGAATTACGATTTACTTGGCAACCACAATCGGATGCAATATGTTTAAATATGTTAAGTACGATTAGAGAAGACAGCAACTTATTTAAGTACATTTTGTACCAAAACCCTACAGCTAATTAAGTGACATGTATCTAATTAATTAATAAATTTATACAAATCCATAATTTATGGAGATTGATCTGTCAAGTTTAAAGTGTCAAACCTGTCAACATCAAAACAATCAAAACAAAAGCACTAAAGCAGTTATCATACAATCCTAAATTTATTTATACATGTTCCGATTTGAACACAATTCTTCCCTCAATCCTAGGATTGGTTGTACGCAACCTTTCACCCTTCCCTATCCATCGCTAATCTTTTCGTTTCTGCTTTCTGCATTAACTGTGCCCTTGCTTACGTTCCTATTTTAACGAGTTCATGAAAGCCATTGAAGAAGGTTTGGAGTGCGTTATAAAAATTACAAGTGCTATAAATATCTGGAAAACCCCTTCAAATCGTTTTTCAAACCATTAGAAAGCTTTCTAGTCCAGACCATTCTGCTCATATGTATATCGAACTCTGGGATTGCAATCCTAGCACCACAGTTCAGTGTTCGTATTTTAAAACTTAAATTTTGAGTTGCAAGTTCAATAGATGAAACGGTCCTTAGAATTGTTTAAACACTTGCAATTTCACATATTTGTAGCGTTCGTGTAATACCGACATTAGCAATTTATTTGTATCGATTAGTGTGAAACATACATTAAATCGTCATTTATCATACGTAGTCATTTCATCTACATCTTGTCTTGGGAAAAAGTTTTACCATTTCTGAAAGAAAGGTTGTCATTGTGATATTTTTAAAGCTCAGTATTCAATGGTTGCTTTTTAATAATTGAAATAAATATGTTTCGCGGTTTTGTAAGACATTCAAATAAACTAATCTACGATAATTAATCGAAACTAACTTTTTTTTAGGTAAGCTTCCTTATTGGCGTTTATGCTGGAATCTACATCTCCCAAAATTATGAAGTAAGTTTTAACAGGATATGTACATTTATTCACCAGATTACATTACAGATACCTCGAATAGATGACCCAGCAGTTATGCTACAAAAACTAAAGGATCTAGCAGATAAACATAAAAAAGATTAATGTAGTAGCATAATTTATTAAAATTAGTCAATAGTAATACACATATATTAATTAAGAGAACATTATACCACCACCAATGTACTCCTGTCTCACTTGTGGTTCGACAAATGCTAACCAATCGCTTGAATGAGTCGGTAGCAGACCCATACTTTGGCATTTATACAACGCTAACCCTATATTAACCAAATTTCCAAAAATATACACAATTTTTTGTCCAATTACACTAGAATTCTCTACCGATTTAAATGCGGCATTCAATTGGAACAGCGCTTGAATTGGTCGCATAAAAAGCATTCCCACCATCATTATAGGGAATATGGAAATTGAGTTCCCGGCCATGTACATTATGAACAGGTTCATTGGAACTTGTTTGATAGGTGCCAGCGCTACTTCCCAAGACTTCTTTATTATCAAATGACTGGTGTCAGTCTTCTTGGCTACCTCACTAGTGCCCAAAATGCCCGAAGTGCTATATGCCGGAGGTGCAGGTAATGCGGATTCATTAACCGAACTTATCTTATTACATCTGGAAGGATAAGCATGAGCATGCACTACTCAAAGGAATTAAATGAAATATACTTCGAGGAATCTAAACTCCATTTGAAACGTTTGCTTTGCACTTTTGTAGCCATTTTTACAACTTATATGCAGTTAATTATAACAAAAACAATAAGAAATTAGATTTTAGAATCAATAAATTGATTTTAAAAGTACCAACCGTGGACAATTAGACATATGATCAATGCCAACCGAACCAACAAGATTCCCTAGAAAATTTTTTATTCCAGTGGCGTGCGAATGTAAACGGCCTGGAGTGCCCTTTAACTGTACTGTATCAGTGAGTTGAAAAGCTTTGAAAACGAGCTCCTAAGCCCTAAGAAACCTCAAATGTACTATGGAACGCAATTAAAAAGTTTTCAAGATGGAGTTCCACTCAACTTTTTAGGTCTCTTCTAAAAACATGGAGACTTGAACAGCTTCGCCAAAGGTCTGGATATGGTTATGGAAAAACCAGGAGTGCCTTCTGTTTTCCACTGGTTCTTAAGTTTGGTCTCAATCAATCTCACTTCCGCTAGTACATATATTGTCTTATGGTGATTTTATACGCAACCCACATCAGTAGGTGCCGGAGTGCACAAGATACTAAGGAAACTAGAGTTATAGGAACTAAAAAGATCCTCGCCTACAGACACCCAAAACTTGGAAATATACTTACTAGCCAATTTAAAGATAGATATTTAAAGATAGTGTAAGACTATAGGATATGCTTTATAGCAATATATTAGGTGTAGGTACCAATTGGCTTGACTGTATAGAGACTCAGGACTATAGTTAACTAGTGTAATATTATGAGACTATTATAAACCGATGCTAAAGAGTCTATCTGTAGAGACAAGTAGGTATTGGAAGCAAATAGTTTAGCCTTTTGGTAAAGCGTAAAGCAAAGGGTAAAAACCCTTTAGAATTCAGATTTACATTTACAAAATAAGCCTACGGGGCCCTGTTACACCAACTTCACGTTCGAGCTAAGATTTCCATTGTTCCACTGGCTCTACCTTTGGAAATAATCTCCCAGCAGAGCTTCCTAAGTTAGTGAGTGAACTTTGACTGTTTATCCTCGTGTTTATCACATACACCATAACCAATAAGGGTTAAGTAATCAGTAAATAATTGGGAGTAAATCTTATCAATAGTAATTACCTAACGAGGTAATTAATACCAACCAGCTGAAGATATACGAATGTGTACTTCACCAAATTGCTGAATACATGATCTAACCTTCAACATGGGTAATCCGGGCCTTCCCTTAGGTAAGAACGACAAAATCCAAACACTAATTTAAATTAAAAAGTGTAGATTTGAGCTGCGTAAATAATGTTCACATAAATCTATCCGCCATCCAAAGCAAAGCGGCCGATTTACAAAATTCTCGCCCACTTAAAGACGAACATCGAGCAGCATGGCTTCTAAAGGCAGTAACGTGTATAGATCTAACAACTTTAAGCGGTGACGACACAGCTAGTAACGTGTCTCGACTTTGCCTCACGGTAAATATTAAACTGTCTGTCTACACATTATCCGTTACCTTACAGGCCTTTCGTCCATTACCCGAAACTTTGTTAAACACTTTAGGATTTGAATACAGTGAAAAATGCCCTATACATACGGCAGCAGTCTGTGTGTACCCGGCAAAAGTTCCATGTGCCGTGAATACCATAAGGAAATTCGGGAAATCGTGTAACATTAAAGTAGCATCTGGTATACACATTCAATGTGAAATAACAAATTAAGCTGTTGTATAGTTGCGACAGGTTTTCCTAGCGGTCAGATGGCATTTCACACACGATTAGAGGAAATTAAGGACGCGGTCAAAATGGGGGCCACTGAAATCGATATTGTGATTGACCGCAGCTTGGTTTTAACCGGTCAGTGGGAGGCTTTGTACTGTGAGTTGAAGGAAATGAAAAGTGCATGCGGATCAAAGGCACACATGAAGTCTATTTTAGCAACGGGTGAATTGGACAATCTCACAAATGTAGGTATGACACCACAGTCTTTTAAAGCCTAAGTCAACTTCTCTTTAAGGTGTACAAAGCATCAATGATTGCTATGATGGCCGGATCTGACTTTATTAAAACATCAACAGGTAAAGAAGCACTGAATGCAACCATTCCATTCGGTATTGTCATGTGTCGAGCAATCAAAGACTATCACATGAGGACAGGTCATAAAGTAAGTATTTCGGCAGTTGTAATGAAAATTACTGGTGAAGTTGTGATAGGTGGGCTTGAAACCTGCAGGTGGCATTAAGACCAGTAAAGATGCACTCGCCTGGCTGGTGATGGTTAAAGAAATCTTGGGAGACTCCTGGCTAACCCCTGAGCTATTTCGTATTGGAGCATCCGGTTTACTTACAGATATTGAGCAAGACTTGCAACAGTATGTTATGGCATAAGTAAATAATCAATAAAATTCCATATACATTTTAAGTGAAATGTATAACCAAATAATTTCATAGATGCAGGAATCTTGAGACTCCGTTGTGATTGGAAAATCTACAAAATGCCCAAATTTTTCAATTTCTCTTGTATAAGGATTATTGCAAGTCTTTTAAATTATCAATTTCTTGAAGCGTAGATACTGTTCGCTCTGGGTCGTGCAATCGAAGACATGTAGTTCTCAACGGATGAGAAACGTTAGCATTGAATTCAGACAACACAAATTGAAAAGGGAAATGCTTTGTAACCAAAACAGGAGGACACCGTGGAGAACTCGCAGAAAATCTAATGCAATTCAAACTTCTCAAGGTTAAAATCGGAACGATTACATGATTGCAGCAGCTGGCGATGGTGCGAAGCTATTCTTTAAAGAATTGAGCCTAAAGTTTATTTGATAGACCTACGGTTATAGAAACGGTAGTGAAATTGGCAGCGAAATAAGGCAAAAGTGTTACGCAGTTTGCAATCACGAAAAAATGTGTTGTTTGTGCGATCTTCGTGTGAAAGTTGTTGTAAAACGGTTCAGTTTAATGTACCTGTTATTGAAATTGTTCTTCCAAGGGCTTTAAATAAACTCCTATGCATAAGAAGTTAAGAATTGCAAAAATAAATGTTTTCTGTTCATTGAGCATGATGTGTTGCCTACAAACCAGGCTACACAAATATCAAGTGCCCATATTCAACTCGGGGATTTGCTTGAATCTCCCCAATCTCCCGTTTTTATTAAGGATAAGGAGGGCCTCCACGAACGAATTGCCCAGGGCTCCGAAAAACTTAAAAACGCCACTGCATTTAAGGAATAATAAGTGCAACGTTGCTATTAATCGCATAAATTCAAATAAAATTTTAAAAGAAGGTGCGTACATGGCGACATCTCAACTAGACTTCTAAAACTATAATTGATAGAAAGTGTATCGATTGTCAAGGAGATGGCGCACTAGTACTTGTATTTAAATTATCTATTAAAAAACCGGGCCTTTAAACTACAACTGCTCATCAGACTTCTCAATCAAAAGTTATAGACTAGAAACCAATTTCGAAAGAAAATTCAAAGGGCTGTAACTTTGGAATTAGTAGCCCAATCTTGGAAGGTTATACACTGCCTTTTTTTGAGGCCTGAAGAAAAAATTGTCTCAGGTCGACCCGGAAAAAAATTGTTTTTATAGAATGGGGCCTGTAGAATCCATAATTTCAAACAGTTCCAAGATTGGGGCTGCTAGTTCAAAAGTTACAGCTCTTTGAATTTTCTTTCGAAATTGGTTTCTAGTCTATAACTTTTGATTGAGAAATCTAATCGAAAAAGTACGAATTGTTTTGGATTCTACGCTCCAAAATTAATAAGCAAAAGTGTTTTCCCGAGAAATTTTAGTGTAGTCGATTTTTGGTAAAAAAGGAAGGTTATACACTGCCTTTTTTTGATGCCCGAAGAAAAAATGGTCTCAGATCGACCCGGGAAAAAAAATTCTTATAGAATGGGGCCTGTAGAATCCATAAATTCAAACAGTTCCAAGATTGGGCTACTAGTTCAGAAGTTACAGCCCTTTGAATTTTCTTTCGAAATTGGTTTCTAGTCTATAACTTTTGATTGAGAAGTCTAATCGAAAAAGTACGAATTGTTTTGGATTCTACGCCCCAAAATTAATAAGAAAAAGTGTTTTCCCGAGAACAGTTCCAAAATTGGGCTACTAGTTCAAAAGTTACAGCCCTTTGAATTTTCGAATACTAAATATTTATGAAAGTATTTGAGTTACCAATACAAATACTGCTTCCATAAAAGTATTTAATTACAAAGTATTTGAATACTTTAAAGGATTTGAATACTAAAAAGTATTTACAAAATCGAACACTGCCCAGCTCTGTCGACCTAAAACCTTGTATGCGGGGTTTTCTTTTCTGCCCATCCTTCGCGTTCCTTTTTGCTTTCTTTTTCTCACTTCTTCGCAATTCAATAACATGACAAATTTCCTGGGAAGTGAAAAAAATATGTCCTAGTGGGTATTTTCAAACGATTGGAACGGTTTGCCTGGGCGCACCATCCTGTCCTGTTGAAACCACCAGACTTTTGTTGTGTTTTTGTGCCGTACAAATAAAAATTCTAGGTGCTCAGTACGGTATGTAGGTACTTTTTTTACGGGCCATATAAAAATATTAGGTAACGTTGCATTGAAAATCTCTCAAGGGTGTCTTGTAGAGCTCAAATAGTGGCAATGGGAAAGTGTTTAGTACGTCATTACCGCCCATACTTCCCTGGTATAGCTATAAATATATTATTATCGACTGTACCGAGATCTTTATCTATTTTTTTAATTATCTTCACGAAGGTACGTAACTAATACTTCAAAATTCAATTAAGGGTAGGTACCTAGCATACATTTACCACCTGAGAAAACCAAATGTGTTTTATGCAGGTTTGATGGACCCCCAGAACTGGTAGTGGTCCTTTTTACTCCCTTTCCGAAAAACCGAGGGAGTCTTGCAGTTAACTGTTTTTAACTAAACAAAGTAAACCTCCAACATGAACTCAAAGAACACTTTTTTTTTCGCAATATAATTTATTAGGTGGTATCTACTCTATTTTCCCTTTATTAAGCTGCGTGCTGCTACTTTACCAAAACGTCTGTCCGTCCGTTTCGATATATAGCTGAAATTTGGTACATAGAGAAGCCATGATTTAGGTAAAGAGTGATTAGGAGAGACAGACGATCACAAAAAGCGTACTTGCTCTACTTCCGTATAGCTTGGCGTGGACTTTATTTTTTATTCAATGGCGTGGGTCTATTCTGTCCTGTAGTGTAGATATGCACAGTTATACCTTTGGTTATATATATATAAAGGTCGCCTACTATCATTATTGGGTAACCTTCGTTTGTATATCTATTTAAATTTTAAGTTTGTATACTTATCTGCATAATGAGGGTCAGCAAGATATTTTTAATCACGTAACTGTTTCCTATGGTTTCCTTTGTCAGTTCTTTGTGGGTTAAAACTTAGCATCAGATTCCATTGGTACATGTGCACACATTTCTAGAGAATAAAAGAATAAATCGATTTGAAGTCATTTAATAACATTGTAACAACTATGTACATAAAATTAACAAATACACATACTGTATAAAACTTAAGCTAAGTGTTAACAAAGTCAATGGTGTTAGTATTTAACCACTTAGGTACTTGCAATGATTTAAGGCACCCAATTGAGCGTGTTTCGCATGACGGAAAGAGGCTGACAATTAATGGTCCAAGTTGAAACCATGATGAGGATCGGCACTATAATGGATCGTTTGCAGTTTTCCATGTTTATCATAAAAACCGTAATGCCCCTTTACATGCCCATGTTTATCACGTTCTTCATATCGGAATTGCCTGTTGTAACTGAAATTAAAAGAGAATTAGCTACTTATTACCTGAGCTTAATTAGGAGGTGTACGTTGGACGTATACTAATTATGCAGTAATGTCGACTACGATTTCCTTATTCAACACACTGACCAAGGCTATATTTACTTACAAGTTGGTAATGAAACACGATATTAATGATAATGATCTTGACAATGTGTAGTTGCTTTGTTAACGTGTTAAAGCTAAATAAATTCATTATTCAATACTGATACCCATCACAAGTTATTCGCCACTGATCTTCATTTTGCCATTTATAAAAAGATGCATGGATATTCATGAATTTAGAATTTTTCAAAGTTGCGATGCGTACCTACCTATAGTTATACATGTATGATCGACTTGTTATAAAATAAGCAGTTAAGAACAACTAGAAACAGTACAAGAGTTACAGTGAATAAAAGAAATGAAATTCAGTAGTTAGAGTCAGTTAAGTTAAAAGAGTTAAAAGAACAGGATGAAAGTTACCCTTTGCCAGTATCGTAACCCCATTTGTAACTATGAGGTCCCTCATGGCCTTGTATATGAAAATGTTGACGATAGGGTGAAGAAGAATGATGTAAGTCTGAAGAAGGTGAATGATCGGAAGTTAGATGATTGCTCTCGCCAAGAAAGTTAAAGCCTTCCGAGAATCCAGTGGCGGCAGAGTCGGGTTCGTTAGCTTTAGTTTGTACCTTTTCATTGGTGACCGCCTTCTGATTCTGTACTTTTTCCAAATTCAATACCACCTTATCGTAGTCTTTCTGTTTGTTTAAGTAGTCCTCTTTGGTAATTGGGGTGAGAAGGATTTCCTGTTTAGGCCTCGCGGATAGGGGCTTCTCTTTATCGTAGACGTCGGCGTTGTATTTTTTCGGGTAGAGGTTTGTGGGCTGCTGCTGTTTGGTGATTATCGCGGGAAGCTCGTAGTAGAATTTAGGATCGTTGTTCGGATTCCACGGTTCGAGCGAGGGAAGTTGGAGATCTTCGGAGGGTACCGGGTAGTCGTAATTAGCGCTGGGGCCGAAAAAACTTCTTGGAACCTCTAGTAGTGAGGGTCTTGGCTCGTCGGATGACAAGGGCGCGGATGCATCGTCTTTGGATAGCCAGGCGGGAGCGGGAGATTCGTCTGGTACCCTCAAGATCTCCAACAGAGACGGTGGAGGTTGCTCGGTATCTTCGGCTCGTATTTGCGCACCTACTACTAGTACGATCATCTGGAAATGATAAATTATCTTATAGGAGTGAAGGAAGTTTCAGTTTCTAATCAAGTTCATTTTAACAAATGAAGAGAAAGTTGAACGATCGATTAATGCCTAAATCTACATGGTGAAATGTTTAATCGAGAACGCTATTTAAAAGTGAAATGTATACAAGAAGGGAAATGCAATGATTATTACCCTCTAGTAACGTAATGTGTGATTTAATCTGCCCAAGTAGGATTGTTAGATTCGCGTGGATAGAGAATGTGAACTTATTGTTATATTCGTAATTTTCAACTTTCTTTCCATATCATTTATTTTTGTTTGTTCCAGTTTTTGATAAAATTTCTCTATACCAGTTTTCAAAGAAAGTGTAATTATTTTGTGGGTTTACAAAAGTTAATTAACGTACTTAAGAGACTGGCAACCAACTGTTTCAATTTAGACGTTTGTAAAAGTTAACAAATGGGTTACGAAGATTAATTTTGTAAGCTAATAGACCTCTCTTCCTTGTGCATTTAGGTACCTATACCTAGTATGCAACTGTAATTAAAACGCCTTTATGTTCGGTGCCACATTTTACCTACTTCCCAGATCAAAACATTTCCTCTATTTAGGTAATATACATAATTTAGTGTTATAGGCAATTAAAGGATGAGAGCGCTATTACGCATTTGTATAATTACGTATCTATGCAAAACAGTTAGCAATTTTCGACGATTTCACGGATAAAGCTACAAAGTATCCAATTCAGACATTCCGAAGATTATCTAAAAGAGAAACCTAAGGTTAAAGTTTGTTATATAAGGAATGACCAAAGTGAATCAGTTTCGATTTATTGTATAACCCACACACACACTTCGTCCCAAATTGAAAGTGAAGCGAGTTTCCAATTTGATTTAAGCTTAAGCAAATGCCGTGTGTGTTAAAAAATAACCACAAGTTTGATTGGTTGTTTTTGGCTTGATCTGAATCAGACATGCAAATTATTTTTATTTACAAAAGTTTCGCAAGAAGTATCCGCAGACTGAAGGTACAAAAACAGATTAGAACCGCAGATGATGTTAAATAGAGCTTGTCTTAGGAGCCGGTACAGATGGTTTTTGAGACAAAAGAAATAAAAAACTTTGTTTTGAATCCACAACGTTCGTCCAAAGTACACAATTTCAATGTTACATGCACTATTCATATGGTCAAAATCATCCAAAGATCTTAAAAACAGAGTCAAATGGACGACTCATACACTCAAGTTGCCTGGTTGCCACCAAAATCTTGACCATATCGTTGACCCATTGTTTACATACAAACGAAATTACGTAAGATGAATCTAATTAATGGTATCTGCGTCAGATTGTATATTCCTTTGCATACATTATCATTAATTTAGACTAATTACATTTGGATTTAAAAAATACCGAAGACCCATTTAGATATAAAACTTCAGAAGTCTCACCAAATAGAGGATGGCCATGGTATCTCTTATCACATTCACCTACCGAAGTAAACTAATTAACACTATACCGTTAAAACACAAATGTGACATCGCGTTTCTAATTCACGGTCTTTTATGCTTTACCATTTCTCCCATACCTTGACGATTAAACCAACAGGGATCGGTTAATTTCGGAATTAAATATTACTTCTTTATTAAATTCGATTTATGAAAGTACTTTTTATAAGGGTACACTTTTGCATATTCACTTCTTACATGAACAATTTATGTAGATTGTAAGTACGGTCAGTTTACTTAGACTAATCAGACACAGTTGGCTGAAATAAGTGTAAGTGCTTTTTAGGATTGCGTGAAAGCGAAAACGATTTTTCTTTATAGGTAGCAAATACGGCGGATCGAAAATGCGTGTAAAAACGGTTACGCTCAGCAATTATTCTAATAGCTTCCGGTTTCTAATTATTGAAAACTTCGTTTACAAATAAGAGCGTATTATGGAATAATTAATACATCTGTTGTTTTAATTCGATTCTTATGCAATATTAATTTAACTAATTATACAGAAGTGAAGCGTTAATTAACCTTCGAGATTCTGACTGCTTATTGTAAACATTAAATTAACAGTGTACGGGAGATTGTTTAAAAAAATTACCCACGATTAAAAATGGTAAAGAAATCGTTTTTATTTATGGTTGAACTATCAAGGTACTTTGAAGATTTTGAGGATTGCGTCATGTGTGTTTATAGTGAGAGCAGCTAGCTTTAAAATGGGTACAATAATGTAAGCGCGTAGGTATATTGCAGTTGTAGTTGAGACTTGAGAGGATTAAAATTTGAATAATCCACCCTGTAAATTACTTATATTACCTACTTTCAATGTGATTCAATGGAAGAAGAACACTGGGGAGCTGAACTACGCCGCCCTTTGTGCTATGTTAAATAATAACAATTAACTAGGTATGTTTGCACATGCCTATTTCAAATTTTGGGATTTTTCTAAAATATTTTGTGTCTTTTATTATGTTTCTTTTATATAATACATAGGTACTTATGGCTTTGGTTAATTAATGAATTACCGTAGGTTCTTATTTTTCGTGAAGGCACAATTTATACTTAATAAATTCATTCGTATAAAAAACCGTCTGTAGTTCAATTACATATTTTAATTATAGTAGGTACGTAAAGGCTTTTTTTCACTACTAGCGTCTGATGACATGATTATTAACCTTTTTTCCACTTGTAAAGTAGGCTTTCTCGGCATTTGTTTAAAGTGGTTAATAATTTTTTATTATTAACTAGTAGTCAATAATGAGAACTGTCACGCTGTCACTTTTAGAAAACACAACCCGAAATTTCGCTCAATGAACGTTTAGACAAGTTCTCTAAAACGAATAATTGCCACCATTCGCAATTTCCAGAGAAATTACATACCTAAAATTATCACATTTTGAAAAAATTCGAACGAAATTACTCTTTGAAAAATCTCAATAACAGAACAAAATACGGCCTGTTTGACTTGTACTTCCACGTACTTGATTGACATGTTAAATTAAGAAACAAACAATTCTGTCCAACCGTTAACTCTCTTATCAATAATATAATATGTTAATTTAGAGGATTTCAAGTGCTAGTAGTGAAAAAAATAGTATATATACCACGGTAGAGAAGTCTATTATTGCATTCGCACCTTACACCCCTCGGCGCAAGCGCCTCGAGATGTAATCTTGGTGCTCAGGCAATAATAGTGGACTTCTCTACCTTGATATATAATGTACTATTCTTGTGTTGGTGCAAATAATAATGCGTTCAGTATTACACTTTCTTTTGTAGCATAGTTTATGAACGTAAAGTTGTGTTTCACGTTGTTCGTTGTTTTTCCTACTGTGTACGTTCCATAAGACACTATGCGTTCTTATAGGTACAGAGAATATCGTGTAAGAAAGCTATTTAATTATGAAGATATCGTGCATAATAGGTATGCTTTGATGGTTGCAGTAGCGAAAGAACAGAAGAGAATTTAGTGCTGATGTTTCAAAGGGCGTGATGTGCCCTTCTGCTAGCAAGGGTTTCTATTTCGCAAATTCACTCTGTGGAAATGAGACCAGGTGTCCCACCAACTAGTAATTTTCCCAACGGAAAAAATTACGTCACTTAAATTGAAGAAGAAGCAAATTTAGTCTTGCCTTTTAAGTTTTTCGTCCTCCCCGTTAGGCGAGAGGCGACGTTACCATGACCATCGCCTTAAAGAGTTCAATGCACGTGTAGTGTTTTGTGATTAAATTATTACTTATTAATTTCAATTGAATCCAAGGAAGCAATTAAAGGGAGGGTTGAAATTGCTGAAATTTTGCATTTACGTGCTATTTATTTTCTGGGTCTTTTTAAAAGATGTTCATTTATTACAAATTTACAGTTAAAATACTTGCCTATTTTTCCTACCACAATAGCTATTTACCTATGCAGTACCACATTTCCTTATTTATTAAACGGTTCAGCTCGGAAAATTGCTACGTACACTAAATCCCAAAATAGAGCGCGCATAGAAAACTAACCCTTCCTTCTATACAACAATTCACGAATCCACAAATTAAATTCCCGTGAATTTGAACCATCCGATCTTTCCATTTCTTAATAAGTGACATAAGGCGAAGGAATGCCGTATGATCCAAAAGTAGTGGGGACAGTTTGAATTTCCTGCAAACCAAAAAACACGCCGGTAAGCACTAAGTAATTAAATTCCACCCTTAAATCACTTCAACCCCTAAGTCTTACTTACGCTTCATCATATTTAAGGGATTGTTTTGTTGATTAATAGTTATAGGTATATTATATAAGACGATAAAGGGATATTTTAACCATTGAGTGAATTAAGTTACACGAGATCGTTAGTTTCCCTTTATCGCCGTGTATAATACAAAACTTGATTTTATAGCAGAAGCCACAGATTAAATCTGTGCAGAAGCCATATAAATCATTGTAAAGCTTCTGACAAGAAAACGTCGAAAATAGCAAGCTTAGGTTCTGCCGTCGCGGTCGTTTCCATAGAAACAGCATTGTCATATGCTCTGAACGTTATCTTATATCGTGCTCCGCATCCCATTTGAAATAAGAATGACAGATGTCATTAGAATGCAAAATCATCTGCTTCACTTTATCTCCCCTTGGGGTTAAAGTGATCGCGTTATCTACCCTCGCGGTTAAAGTGCCAGTCAATGTGTCAATGTAACATCTGCTATAAAATAAAATTGTTTTATTAAATGAGTTCACTAATCATACGATAGAATGTTGGTAACAATAAAGAGCTTCTGGAAAAACCTTTAAAAAATGGAAGAAATTTATCAACGTAACCAAAATGTTCCTTCGATAAAAATAATTCAAAAATTATTGTACTTGGCACTACTAGAGGACATAAAATATCATATAGCGAAAGTGCAAACGCGATGGGTGACTTTTATTGTGAACAGACGGACCCACTAACGAAACCGAAGGAAAGGACTATACGAGAACCCACCCCTCGGGACAATGGCTATATTGTATATAAAATGTCAAATTACAAAGGGCGGTTTATAGTCTGCACTACGCATCCAAATCCAAGAATTTAGTTTGCATTTTAGAAACAGTGGATTATTGCCCTTATTGTTTTATGCGTTTTTTCATTTTTGATGGTCATTCTATCAAAGGTAAAATTTTCATGTATCATCGTGCTCTAGATATACCTACTTACAATCTACACAATTCAATAAAGATTGTTAATGAAAATGAACTGTCTCCTCCACATCAAACTATAAATTGCAACCTTTAGTACAAGCTAGGCCTTTCATCGAACTACAAACTTGCATTTTGTACTTTATTAGAAATCTGTAACAGTTTTTCTTGATTGGCGACCCCCTAATTGCTAAAACAAGTTGGTAACGGATAAAGACATCCAGTTATTTGAATTTACACTGCACAATTTTCCAAAGTTATATGGACCTAGTATTCGCAGAGTACACTTGAAGAACTTTTAGAACGAACCATTTGTACCTACCACGATCTGACCAATGATCCAAATGCTCTTATACGTTTGGTACCAGTGCAACAATGGAGATACTAGATACACTTAGAAGAACTTGAGATTAAATGTTTTTTAAATTGACTGAGCTTTCGTGTACAAGGCTGTGATAGTACCTACTAAAAAAAAATAGTCTGTTCACACCGACAGTGTTGAAGAGGGTTCGATGAAGTGATTGACCAATTAAAGAAGTCAACGCAGAAATACCTTTGCCATTTCTAATGGCTTTCCCTTCTATCGAAGATTTTACAGCGATTTGAGTGGTGAAGTCGTGCAAAAGGTGGAAAGTCAATACATTCAAAATTCGAACTACCTATACTTCTTATGCTTGTAGTAATAGCAAAAATTACTAGGCAAATAAGTATAACGAATGAGCGTGATTATTTATAGTCAACTTTCCATAGATATAGGCAAAAACGCAATTGGAAAAACGCAAATAGAAAACATCAAGGTTAACCGCTTTATTTCAATAAATTACTCACATTCATATAATAATTATTGTGGTGCGATATTGTAAACACACGGAGATGGAAAACGATGCACTTATCTAATTAACAATTTCATGACTGATAGATAAATGATTGTTTGATGAAATCTATTACATTACATCTGCAGTTTCATGGTCATATCATATCAATCAGGCACTTTTCAATTTTTTTGCTTGACAGTAGCTTATGGTGCTATTCTTTGTTAATTCAGATGGAAAATATTTGTCGTGGCCGACACAGATGGAAATTCTGATGAGCAAATGCCTATGGTAGGGTTAAAAGTTAAGTATGTCTCGAATTCTTATATGCAGCACATATATCATTTAAGTTGGAATATACGGAATAATATCGAGTAAATAGTTTGAGAAAAGAAATTAGCTGTATTGCTGTATAGAACGAGAAAGATCTGTGTTGGTAGACCTTCAAACTAGATGTGGGAAAAATCGATTAAATGGACCCTTCCAGGGAAAATAGTTCGACCTTCATAAGGTCGGCGAAAATATCAGGTTTTAACTACTTATACAAGATTACAACACACTGACAGGCATACATGTAAAAATTTCGATCGAGACAATGGAGACAGTGTGCTGCTTTTTCTCATCGTTGGACTGT